CATGTAACATTACACACCTGCTATTCTACCCTTGTGCCCTCCTGCTCACCTTGAAGCGCAGCGGTGACAGCGTCAGCTTCGTGTGGTGGTGGCACATGTAACATTACACACCTGCTATTCTACCCTTGTGCCCTCCTGCTCACCTGGAAGCGCAGCGGTGACAGGGTCAGCTTGGTGTGGTGGTGGCCGGGAGAGAGGGTGCCGAGGCTGCGCATGTAGGCGTAGGGCGACGCGCGTACGATCGGCTGCATCGGCTTGATGTTGACCGTCGTCTCCTCAGCGTCCTCACCGAACGTCGTCTCCATCTTAGCCTGATCCTTCTCCGGGTTCACCGTCTTCGTGATCACCTGTGCGGCGTGAACGTGGCGACGGAGAGGACAGGTGAGGCGAGAATCGGCCAGTTAATTATTAGCTATACTTTAAGTTATTTCTGCAGTGGATTAATTTCGTTTTACGACGGACCTCTGACAATTTGTCCATCACTAATTCTCTTTTCTCTTTGCAACATTTTTTTTCGGTGATCACCCGAGCGGTGACGGCGGAGAGGTGAGGTAAGGTCTCACCTCTCGGAATCTCAATTTTGTTAGATGTTTAATCGAAATTTGTGGAATATTTAAATTCCTTGCTGCTGAATTTGAAAGCATTGGTGGCTAAAGACCGATTTCTTAGTTCGAAAAGGTCCTTAGCCACCAAACATTTTTCTAGAAACCCCGAGTCACACATGCCAATATTATTGTTTGAATGTTTACAGAGAGAAGACAATAACTACTAAGAAATCGATTAATTAATAAATTCAGAACTGAATCGGAATCAAATTCAGAATGAATCAGAATGAAATAAGAAGGCAATTGGAAAAGAACCCATAATAATTAGGAATATTGGAATGAATCGAGAATCAATTCTGTTCAGAGTAGGACACGGTCCCAGTGTGTGCTCTCGCCATGCGCGCGCGCGACAGGACGACCCACGTACCTGGTCGGAGCTATCGAACGTCGTCTCCACTTTCCTGTGGCTTCCTCCTCCTCCTCCTCCTCCTCCTCCTCCTCCTCCTCCCTGGGAGGAGCTGCTACTGTACGTGCTGTCGCTGCGCTTAGGAAGCTTGCTCGTCGCGACGACGCTGCTCTTTTGTTCCGTCGTCGTCGTCGTGCGACCGCCCGAGTATTTCTTCGTCTCGGTATCTGCCGGGGCGGAAGCGAGGCACATGTAATCTGAATACGCCGTAGACTGACGCCAAACGTCTCTCTGGTGGGGGCTAACATAGATTTTTAATGACCAACATAGGTTATCCAATCTAGAGCCAGTCTATAACCACACCGCATGGCTTTGATTGGATACAAAGTCGTTGCCGTGCCCCGTACAAGTGACATCGTCACGCGCGGCAGCAAATCGAAATGTTTTTTTAGCAGATTCAATGATCGGATTCAATCCGCGGTGCTTCCACGAGAATACTGGGATTATTTCCGCAGCGGCGGCAGGAATATTGTGGGGAAATGTGACGACGACTACGCGCGCGTTTATCTCTCGCTCGTACTTCACAAAATTGAAACGATTGCAATCATAAGGAGCACGTCGGGAAAGAGATCAATGTGAATGCGGTAGGGGGCGATAGTCGTTTCACTCAAGTAAGAACGAGTGATATATATATATATATATATATATAATACGCGTTAAATTACGTGAGGTGAAAAACCATATACATCCTACGCCACAATCACACATGAACTCTATCCTCCCTCCCTCTCTATCTCGCTATCCTCTACTCTCCTCTCCCTCTCTCTCTCTCTCTCCTCTTCATCCTCCCTCCTTTATTTCCCCTCTCCTCTACTCCACATCTCACCCCCCCCCCCCCCCCCCCCTCCCCCCCCCTCTCTCTCTTTCTGTCTCTCTTCCCTCTCTCTCGACCGCTACTCTCTCTTTCATGCATATCTCTCCCATCTCTCCCCCCTAACACACATACTCCTGACTAAATCTCTCTACGACATTTCTGTCACATTGTTACAATCACGAACACCTAACAAACACACAGATATTTACTATAAAAGCGGACGCCGGCGGCCAGCTAAGCCCGGAGCAACAAACATGATCACAGACTGGGCCCTAACGGGAAAAACTGCGGTCTCGAACGTGCGCAGCAAAAAAGCCAAAGATACCCCGCGGCGCTCCTGGCGAACATCCCCGCCCCACCAGCGCGCGGCCGGCGCTCCGCCGGCGGCGGCGCCTCCCCGCCCTGCCCCCGACGCCCCCGACCCCCGCCCCGCCGCGGCGCCGCACGCCCGTCCGACGTCTGCCGTCGGCTAGCGCCGCGCGCGTAACTGCGGCCCTGCCACGTCGCGTCGCAGCCGTGCGCCACGCTGTCAACTACGTCGCGTAGGGCTGCAGAGTTCGCGCGTCGACCCGAGCCGCCCGCTCGGGCCCCGAGCGGGCCCAACAGCAGTGACGTGCCGGGCGCGGGGCGTACGCACCCGGCCGTACCGGCACCGAGCCGGCCGATGAGCGCGACTGTCGCTCGCATAACGCGGACTGTAGACAGGGCGTCGCGTGCGTCACCACCGCGCGCGCCGTGCAGTCCGCTGCGTTCGGCAAGCCGTGCGTTGAGGCGTAAGTGCTGCGTGCCGCAAGACCGCACGCCCACACACACACACGCGCGCGCCGCAGACTGCACACAACACACACACACACAACACACACACACACACACAACACAACACACACATGACCACACGACACAACACACAACCACACACACACGACACACACACACACACCAGACCCTGGCCCACACACACACACCACACACCACACTCACACACACCACCACACACCACACACCCACACACACACACACACACACACACACACACAGCGACACAACTAACCACACACACACACACACATCACACACACAACCACCACACACGCAACACCACATACACGCAGGCACGCACAAACACGTATATACATAATTATATAATATATGTACGTATATACGTCACGTAACTCACCAGAGAAGAGCTCGTCACAGCTGGATGGACGGTAAATGACGGAGTCACCGGATGAGTGAGAGTTTGTGCCGCTGTTGCCGCTGTTGCCGCTGTGTGTGCTGTGCATCGAGTCAGTCATGCCTGTACCTGTACACACGCACGCCAGGTAAAAAAACACAGATATCGGAATCAGCATACGACATTAGATTTATACTTAGCTGTGGCATATTCTACGTAAGATAACAGAGCATGCTCTCGATAAAAATAGAAATACAAAAACAGTTAAACGGTCGGGCATTAAGTTTATGGTTTAAAAGTATCCATTTGCAATTATGGAAACAAAGTATAAATACAAAGTAAATGTAAATTATAGTAGCAGTAAGATATTACTAAATATTTAACCATATTAAATATTAGGAATGCACTCTCTGAACTCTGAATCCAGATCAAAATGCTATAGTGGTGAAAATGCTATAGCGGACCGGTGCATATATGTATATATATATATATATATATATATATACATATATATACACACACACATTTTGCAGCACGGTTGTTTACAGCACCGAGTTTAGAAGGTATGCACTGTGTATACGTATGTGTACCAGTCGAACTTTGGGTTCAACAAGGTTGTATGGCAAAGCCTGCACGAGGAATAAACAGGGTTTGTGATGGACACGGGTGATGGTACATTCGGGTGCATCGATGCATACACCATTATTGGATGTAATGTATTTGCTTTCATTGGCAAGTTACCGAATGAAGCGTCTCTTCAGGCATAGGTAGATGGGACCTTTATAGCTTACCCATGCCAACATTAGAGATGGAGTCGGATACCAAGCTGCTCAGACTGACATTGCTGACTTCCTTGCCAGCGGGCATGATGTTGTGCGTCATCGGCGTAACCATGGCGATCGTGACGAGGGAGCCTGAGTGGTCAGACTTCATCTGCGATCCATGCATCGCCATCTTGGCAACGATGTTGTGTTCACTCTTCTTCACATCCTGCATGCAACACAATACATGACATACATATGAACATATATAAATATAATTACATGTATATATATATATATACATCCTGCACATGATACAGAAAACACGTGAAAGATGTGATAACTACCAGGCCAATAAAGGCATTAAAGTCAATCATAAACAAGGTAATAAACTCGCATGTAGGTGACGGGTGGATTACCCAAGGGCATGTGAGGGGTCGCAATCACCTGTATAAGAATCTTGCTTGTGTGCGTGTGTGCGTGTGTGCGTGTTCACGTGTGCATGTTTGCGTGCATGCGTGCATGCGTGTGTATGCGTGCGTGCATGCGTACATGCGTGTGTATGCGTGTGTGCATGCGTGTGTGTGTGTGTGTGTGTGTGTGTGCATGCGTGTGTGTGTGTGCACGTGTGTGCGCGTGCGTGTGTACACATGCGTGCGTGCGTGCGTGCGTGTGCGTGCGTGTGTACATCACCTGCAGCAGACTCTCCACTCTGTCCTTGCTGCTCGGCTGTGCATGTGCTCGTGTGTGCGTACGTGTGCGTGCGTGTGTGCATGCGTG